TCAGCAATCAACTCTTGAGCGGGCTCAGCTCCTGGGGCACAGGTACAGAGAGCAGACACCTGGGCGACTCGGGGTGGGCAGGCAGCCCAGAGCTCAATGAATGGCACACAGAGAGCTGAGACAAGGGTGAATAGGATGCATACAGCAGTGTGATGCCCAGGAACGGCGTGTCCAAAACCACAGGAACGCGGCGCCGGCCCTGGGCCTCCAGCCCGACATACAGGCCTATGTACCTTGTGTCAATAGGCAATTCAGTAAGCTCAACAAATGGGGTACAGGCTGTCCAAGACCCTGATGACCACAGAATGGAGCTCCTGTTCCCAAATGAACAAGGAACAGGTCACCCAGATGGAAAAACACTTGGATACTTGGGGCATGCATCCCAGGTATTCACAAATGTAGATTAAGGACACCATTCTATGGCTTCCTTGGACAGAGAGCCCCAAATCAATGTGTAGGCCTTCATAAAGCCATATGGTAGATTGGGTCCTGAACTCCAGTGAGTTCCACCATGATAGGGCATGTGTCCCCATATGTACAGGGGATAGAAGACTTACCTGGGCACTGTGGAGATCAGGGTTCACATCCCTGGAGTTCCCCATGGAGTCTCAAAACTCAGTGTGTCATGTTCACGGAAGCTGTAGCTCAACATCCTGCTCAAGTAGAGTGCGAGGTCTTAATGTGGCATTGATGGTGCATAGCCAATGCCAAAGCACAGGCAGAAGACCCTTCTCTAGATGCCCTGGTAATGGTGTCATTTCTCTAGATTCTGGGACGATGGGGTGTAGCCTCCCTGAATGTTAAAAGATGGGGACTGTGGTCCTTGGGTACGTAGGTGGTAGACCAATGCTCGTTCTCCAGTGCTCAAGAGATAGGATGTAGCCTTACCAGATGTTCAAGTAATGAGGTTCAGGCTCCCCAGATGTTTAGAAGTTGGGGTTCATCTTCCCAAAGTGTCTAGATAATGGGACTCAGGTTTGTTCTGATGCTGGAATGTCAGGGACATTGTGCCTAGCATGTGTCCCTCAGTGCAAAAGACATAGAAAACCTAGGTGATCACACAAGTCACATACAGAGGTCTGAGACAAGTTGAATACCCATCTTTGGCTGTCCCAGACCCCAGGTAAAAGGGGTGCCTAGAAGAATAGGGTTCTCAGCGGGGTCAGTACAGGCAGGGAGCACATGCTCCATCCCAGCACGTCTCCTGCTTCTTTGCCAGAGGCTCCAGGCTCTCCCGCCAGCGTCTGCCTGCCGTGTGTTCTGACCTCAAACATTCCCCAGGCACCCTCAAAGGAAGCATCCGAGTCCAGGAGCCCCGCCAGGGTCTCCACGGGGCTTCTGGCTGCCAAGCCGCCGTCTGGGGGCCGCGGGCCTGGCCGTGGGCTGCCAGCTCTGTTTGGTTTTCTCCTTCCTGCCTCAGAACCTCAGACGCCGTCTCGCCACGGAGGCGCCCTCATTCTGGAGAGGCACAAAGCCCCTACACAGCTCGGTTGTGGGAGCTACTTGTGGGGCCTGAAGCTCAGATCTACAGGGGCCTGGTGGGTCCCAAAGTACAGGTGATTGCTACCAGGGTGCTTTACTACCTCTGCAGGCACACCACTGGCCTCTTGATCTTATCTATAAGTCCCTGTCACATCCCCTGAATCATAACAGGATGGACCCACCTCATGTCTGTGCCTATGTGCCCAGAGCCACTTGTGAGCAGCCTGGGTGTGCCCCTCATGTGGCGGTCCCAGAGCATCCTCTAGCTAGAGTTTCCTCAAAAAGACCTGTCTGACCAGCCCAGAGACTTGGAGACTTTGGGGCTGGTGAGATAGGTCTCGTTAACCTTTAACCATTCCTGTCTTATTGCCAGCCATAGATAAGGGGCTGTGGAGTGACCGGACCAGCCCAACTGGTCAAAGCACAATGAGAAACTCAGACTCCAACCTTGGTGGAACCCAAACTGACACCCAGGTTAGATTATTGCAAGGACCCTGGATACCAGGATGAGGGCTGGCTCATTGGGAAGCTAAAAACTCAAGGAAGTGGGTCAGAATGGCCTCCAAAATCTTCTCTGAGGGTGACAATAAAGCCAGTCAGGCCCCCCATGGCCCCAGGACAGCACCATACAGCACCAGGCAGCTCCCCCACAGGGTTCCACCCTCTGTGCTTGGTTCTCTAAGCCTGCACTGCCAGGAGGCACACTCTTCCACCAAACAGTTGTGACTCAGGCCTTCTGGGTGTGTGAGCCTGCACAGAGGTCAGCCCAGCGGCCTGTCACCCCTGTTTGCAAAGTTTGGTGTGGGTGGAGTTACTCCAGCCTTGAGGAACCCCTAGAGATAGCCCAAAGTTTAGACACCTGCTCTAGGGCTTCAGACAAGGGAGGCCTTCTCTCTTAAGGGGGTTTCCTAGCTTCTGAGAGTCAGCAGTTCTGGCCATGAGGCGGGGGTGCTCCCCAAAGCTGTGCCTCCACACCCCTTCCACTCCCCAAGATTCTTCCAATTACTAGCAATAGGCGCCGGCTCTGCTGTGGGGTCCAGGTACTGCCTAACAGTAGACCAACGAGCCTCCAGGTGGCTAGGGTCCAAGCAAGAAGGCCAGAGCCCACCAGCTGCAGGAAGCTGTTGGCACCAGGTGACGAAGGGATCACCACTGTCCTTGGGGGTAGGTGTCTTGCTTTTCTGGGGAAAGGGAACACAGAAATCTGCTCCCTGTGAAGCATTACAAGGTCTGGTTAGACTGGGGGAGGAGGGAGTTGGTAGCAGGTCTAACCCAGAGTTGCTCGATCATGGGCTGCCAGGGAATTTGGAGGAGAGGCCCAAAGTGACTGTGAATGGATTCTGTCTTAAGGGGGGCACTGGTGGCATCCAGCCCAAGACTGGGTAATTTTGAGGGACCTAAAAGGGATACCTGGAGAAAGTGGGGCTCAAGCAAGCCTTGAAGAGTGAATAGGGAGAGAGGCTGGGACAGTGGAAGCAGACCTCAGACCCAGGTATGAGTCAGAAGCCCTGCCTGGAAGGGATTCCAGAGATGGATGCACAGAGCCACGGGGAGGGAGCCTGGAAATGTAGCAGGGACTCACAGTTCCCTTTCCTGGACCAAACAGTGCCGGGCCCCTTAATAGAGTATTCCTCAACAGTCATGGACAGACTACCAAAGTCAGCAGGAAGACCTGCCTTCTTTTCAGAGCCGGATGCTGCCCCGGGCCATAAAAACGGGACAGCCAAGTTCCTGGGTCAGGGCTGGAGAATCTTTCTGTCTGTCCTGCTCAGGCTGCGCTCACCTTCCCTGAAGTCCATTATCTTCAGGCTGAATGCTACTGGTAGGTGGGGACCAGTGGAGAGAAGGGCTCCACCTGGTGGCTGTATTTTTACTTGCACCTTTACCACCATGGGGACCTGGGGGTCCTAAGGGACCTTGATCATTCCTGGCCTTGAAAATCTCTCTAGTATCAGGAGCTGGTGTTCCAGAGGCCCCAGAATCCTCCAAGGCTAACTTCCAGACAGTCCAAAGCCCCTTGTGGACATATGTGTGTCACCACTAGGTTATCTAGAATGTCTTCCTGATCTACATGCAGTGAGAAACAGCTTATGGACACAAGGGTGGGAGGACTTCAGCCCAAGAATGGCACAGAAAGGAACTCACATGTACACACACACACACACACACACACACACACACACAGAGAGAGAGAGAGAGAGAGAGAGAGAGAGAGAGAGAGAGAGAGAGAGAGAGAGATCTGAGTGTTACTTGAATTCCAACATCCATGCCATCTCCATCATTACCCAAAGGCAAATGTGGCTTTGCCCACTCACAGCCAGCCTGGCTTCAGCCCTCTTAAGCTAGGGACCCTTGAGGAACAACACGGCAGCTCTAGCTCCCACCAGCCTTTCCACCAGGTGCCACTGGGGGCACTCTGGCCATCCCCTGTGGACTCCTGCCTAGCTGAAGCCTTCAGAAGGACAGACAGGAGTCAAGTTAGTAGACAGAGAGGCTGTTGATGCTTGCAGATCACACCTCCCCTCTTCAGGGGACTCACCAAGCCTCCACTTCCACCAAATTACAGACTGGGGTCTAAAACCAAGCTAGGGACTAGCTGCATGATTAATGGGGCCTGGGGATGAATTAAAATCTGGTACCTGTGCTAAAAGTTGAGAAATTTCAAGAGATGAGGAGGGCAGGGCGTTCAGCTTAACACAGTGGTCCTCGAGGGTCCCCACCAGACCACTCTCCAGTGTCATTTTGGCTTCTTGTAATAACCCTCTGCACCTCGGCTCCAGGGCCATGCCAACTTCAGGGCTCTAGCCTCAGGCCATCCATAGAAAGCTCATGAGTCCATGTGTGCAGGACCCCTAAGGGAGACCTGGGAGGTAGAACCTGGTCCCCTCCTGATCCACAGCTACCTACAATCAGCGAGGGGTGGATGCTTCTGGGCTCTCTGGGCTGTGGCTGCCTCTCTCCATCCTGCCAGGCAGTGAGACACTGATGTTCCCTTGGAATCATGTTGGGGATTCCAGGCTGAGGGTACAAGAGAGAGAGGATCTGACCCCACAGTTAGTCACTCCTGGAGGGGTAGACTGGTCTAGTAACTTGTATGTAGTCTGGGCTTAGATTTGGCAGGAGGACTGGCAGGCTCTTGTGGCACAGTGGGGTAGACCCAAGTTTTAGAAACTTAAGTCCTGGCTAGTAGTTGCCATCTAGGGAAGCTGGAGTGGGGGCACGGGGAATCTAAGTTCAGGAAGTCACAGTGGCTCCCAGCCCCTAGCTGGGGACCCCACCCTTCCTGCTCATGGTGGAAGAAGCCAACCTTCTAAGTGTGTACCCTCCTCAGGGCCCGGGCAGGTGGGGCACAGAGGCCAAGGCAGCTTCATGGCCTCCTCCTTCCCACTCCCATGCCAAGGGTAGCCAAGCAGGCAGGTAGGCAAGTTTAGGCCGGCATTGATTCAGCATGGAGGAATGTTCAAGCTCTCCCAGCTATGCCCTGCCCCTGCCTGCCCCCGCCTCACCCTCATCCCCAGGCACTACTGGCCTGGTGCCCATGCCAGCAAAGCTCCTTCAGCCTAGGCTTGCTGGAGCGCATGCCCACTTGCTGGTGGCCCTATGCCCTGTATCCCCAGTTCTCTCCCACATGACCTCATGGCCCAAGCTGCTCTTGGCCCTGAGGCTACAGTGAACTGGACTACCTGGTAGAATGTGGTAGGTCTTTGGAATGCAGGGGCCTATAATGGGTCCTCCTCAGGAAATGAGACACCCCTGAAAATGAGGAAAGGCCTCTGAGCCCAAGGAAAAAGGGCAAAGCTCCTCCTGCAATGTGTTAGAGGATTCCAGGGAGCAAGGGCTAGCAAAAGTAGGTACCAGGCTGCCCAGGCCTGGCCTACTTGTCTGGGGTTGGGGACTGGGGAAGGTGGCAAGAGGCCGGGCTTGTGGCAGCTAAGTCAATGCTTTGGACAAGGCCCAAAGCCTCTCTCTGCCTGACTAGCACCCTTGCCCCTGGCCACCTATGCTGCCTTCTAATCTAGGGTGGACTCAGTACTTGCTGCTGCCAGCTGAGGAGGCAGTACACAAAGGTCAGAGGGCTCCCCCAAGTGACCTGGATTCCACAGTTATCTCCTCCAAGCCAATAGGGGCAGGAAGATGGGGCGTGTCCCAGACCCCCTCAGCACCTCAACCCCAGTTGACAACACTGCTGAGCCCAGTCTCATTCCAGATCTCATTACCAGGATCCCCTGTGAGTGGCTGGAACCCTAAGAGTGATGTGGGCATGGTACAGTCTAGTTGGGACCCGGATTGTCTAGAGAGGCATTTCAGCAGCCTGTGCCCCTGGCTCAGGGCCCGGTTGGGCACTCTTTATCGCCATTCTTGCTGCTGGAGTCCTCCTGGTCTCTTGTCTGCTCTGTGTCATCTACTGCTGCTGCCATCGCTGCCAGCGCCGCAGGAAGAAGCCCAAAGACAAAGAAGCTGTGGGTCTGAGCAGTGCTCATAGCAGCACCACTACTCACCTGGTGAGGAGCAGAAACCTGCATCTATCTGTGCCCATTCCTATATTGGCTCACTCCAGGGAGGGGAATGCAAGGTCCAGGCTAGGGAGCTCAGGGCAGCCCTGGCAGGCCTTCCTGGCAGAGGAAGGAGATGAAAAAGGGGGTGGGGGAGGAGGTGTTCAAGAAGCATGCAGATGCTGGTCCATGGGCCATTGGAAGCTACAGTAGTAGTACCATACACGTCGTGTTGAAGGCAGATATGGCTGGTCTCAGGAAGCTGCCCTGAGGATATGAACCATTTTGTGAGCTGGCCTGCTGGTGGTGGTTTGACCTGTATTATAAGAGCCTAGGCCTCTGGTTGAGGATTGGTCTCAACCATACTTATCTGACCACCCCCTTCATCCACCTCAGGTTCAACCAGATGTGGACTGCCTGGAGCCCTGCTCTGGGGGACTCCAACAGTGGGGGCGACTGCTGCTCTCACTGGAGTATGACTTTGGAAGCCAGGAGGTAAGTCCCACTGAGCAGATCCAGAGGCTCTGTAGTTGATAGAGGGTGTGATAGGGGAAGTGCCAGGTAGAGGGGAACATGAGAAGAGGACCCCCCCCACAAGCTAAGCCAACCCACTGGTCCCCAGATTAGGGTGGGCCTGAGGCAGGCTGAAAACCTGAAGGCTGAAGGTACAGCAGACCCCTACGCCCGCATCAGTGTTTCCACCCAGGCTGGGAGAAGACACGAGACAAAAGTGCATCGTGGGACTCTCTGTCCCATGTTTGAAGAGACATGCTGCTTCCTGGTAAGTCTAACCTGTGTAGGTAGAGCGGTCTAGGGCCAGAGCAGCGGGACTCAGCTCACGGCCCTGCCTTGCAGGTCCCACCAGCAGAGCTGCCCAGGGCTACCCTGAAGGTGCAACTGTTGGACTTCAAGCGGTTCTCAGAACACGAGCTACTAGGGGAGCTTCAGCTATCCCTGAGCACTGTAGACCCTCTTCATGTCCTGGAGAGCTGGTACCTGCTGGGCCCTCCAGGTACCACTGAGGTGAGCCTGGCTGGCAGGGGCCTGCCTGTGCCATGGGGGTGGCCAAGGCCTGGGTGCTGTAACTGCTGAGCCCAAAACCCCAAGGGCAAAGATGACCCTCCCAGCGGCGGCCATGCCTTGTTACCCATAGCTTGAGCAGATGGGGGAGCTGTGCTTCTCACTGCGCTACGTGCCCAGCTCAGGCCGTCTGACTGTGGTTGTGCTGGAGGCTCGGGGCCTGAATCCAGGGCTTGTAGGTAAGAACTATATTGGGGTGGTCAGAGGGCTGGGCCCTTGTGCTCAACCTTCCCATGCGCATGTATCAGACACCTTTCTTGACCTCTCTTGTTCATGCAGAGCCCTATGTGAAGGTCCAGCTCATGTTAAACCAGAGAAAATGGAAGAAGAGGAAAACATCCTCTAAGAAGGGCACAACTATGCCCTACTTCAACGAGGCCTTCACTTTCCTGGTTCCCTTTAGCCAGCTCCAGGTGGGGAGCAGGAGGAAGGGTGGAGTGGCCTGGGACGTTGTGCTGGGCCAAACTGATAACCTTTTCCCTTCTATGTCTGCAGAGTGTGGACCTGGTGCTGGCTGTCTGGGCCCATGGCCTGCATCACCGGGCTGAGCCTATAGGCAAGGTTTTGCTGGGTCCCAGGGCTTCAGGACAACCTCTACAGCACTGGGCAGATATGTTGGCCCATGCCAGACGGCCTATCGCCCAGTGGCACCACCTGCAGTCCCCCAGGGAGGTGGACCGTGCTCTGGCCCTGAAGCCTCACCTGCCCCTACCTAGGCCTCACTCCTAAAAGAACTGTAGGCTTCAGTTTCCCCAAATGGAGCTGTGGGCATTTGTCCAGGCTCTTCCAAGCTTTCTGAAATAAAGGTCTTTTTTTTCCCACTCATGTGCCCTGATAGAGCCCTGTGAGGAGGACCTGAGGCACAAGGTGGGCTACATCTTGGCACCACTGGCCTCTCAAGGGTGAGGTAGGGTGCTCTGGACAGATTTGCCAGTACTGAACCTCTGCTTAAGGCCTGATTATTAGGTCTTCCTGGGGAAGATGGCATCTCTCTCTGCCATCCAGGGTTGGCAGAGGAGCAGGGGATTAGAGATGGCCCTGTGGGGACAAGGTGGGCAACTGGTGGGGGGAGTTGTGGGTAGGGACAGTGTGGGGAAGAGACCCCAACATCATGAGGTATGGAGACATAGGGTGTCCTCTGTGCTATCAGCAGGGGGCAGTAGATGCCTTCGGAAGCTGCTCTGGGGCCTTTGGGGGCGCGCAGTCCTGGCCTGTGATATACCTCTTAATCCCAGCACATCTGGCCGGCTTTAGCAGTTCCAACCCTCCCCTGATCCTCAGGGGCCCCAGAGCAGCAGGGCTGGGGCCAAGCCATGATCTGGGTGTCTCTGGGTGGGGTTCAGGAGCGGGAAAGGGGTGAGGGCCTGGCCCTAGTGAGCGGGGCAATGCAGGGCCTGCCTAGGCAACCAAGGGCCCTGAGCCCCCATAGGTCAGAGAGAGGTTTCTAGGGCGGTGGCACCACTCTCTGGGGTTGAAGGACATGTTCCAAGTTGCCTGTGCAGAGAGATAGACACCCGTGGGCAGGGTGTGTGGCAGGCTGGGAGAGGCCCAGCTACTGGTCCAGGGGCCTATTTGTTCCTCTCCCTGAGCAGAAAGGCAAGTTCACTACAAGGGGTGGGCATCTCTCTCCTGAGCCTTGACACAGGGCCAGAGAGACTGTTTTGTTGTTTTGTTTTTGTTTGCTTGCTTTTGGGGATGGGTCCAATTTTGCAGGAGGACTGAAGTGGTGAACAGTCAGCCCAGGAGCCCAAACATGGAGTGAGTGACCAGATAGGTGCTGAGTTACAAGGCCATTTGACAGTGACTCCAGTTTAGTCCACTTGTTAGGTCAAGTTTCCCTTGGAGGAAGACTTCAATGGATGCTTGAACCGGGTGGGTACCCTGGAGACCCACATGCAGTGTGACTCTTGCTGTCCTGAGGGTTCTTGCAGGAACAAGGTGGCATCTTGAACTGGTCACTGAGACATAAATAGAGCAAACCAACCCCCACCCCCACCCCAAGACTTCTTGGACAGGCCAGCGCCTGGGCTGGCTGGCCAGCAGGCTGGGCAGGTGGGGAGGCTCTCCTCCTCTCTGTGCCCCCATTGGTCTGAGGAGACTCCATGCCCTTTCTGAGCAGGGGCCCGGCCCAGGGAAATCCATTTATACCCCTCCCCCTGGCCCACCAGCCCAGCTTACTGCTGCCTGCCTGACCTCGCTCCCAGCCCTGCTGCACAGACTCTAGGTGAGGCCTGGCCCATCTTCTTGAAGCTGGAGAATAGGGCACTACTCAGGCTAGCTCGCAGGAGGACTTCCCTGGGCAGGGACTTGGGGGTCTGGGGTCTGCTGCCAACAGCTCTCTCTGGGGGTTCCCACAGATCTGGGATAAAAAAGCAACAGGTGCTGGTAGGATGGGACAGGGGTCTTCAGTGGGCCTCTGATGACAGGCACTGACTCTGGGGACACACAAGCAAGAGAACGTTCAGGTCAAGCAAGCGGGGACCTGAGCCCCCAGGCCACACAGGAGAGCTCTTTCTTCCATGTATCTACTTCTCCAGCCAAAGAAGCAAGAGTTAAAAATAACAGGCTCACCCTGGCAGCCACCTGTGCTGGCCAGCCCCACCCCTCCCTCGGGGACAGCTGCAGCTCCTCAGGCCCCGCCTGGGACATTTTGGGAACACTTTCTCCTCTTACTTCTCACCCTCAGGGTGGGGGTGGGGGATGTCCTCTAAATCCTTGCCCTTTGAGAAGGTCTGAGTTGAGGGTAGAGCAGAATTGGACTAGTGAGTGAGCACAGGTCTCCATGCCTGGCCTCATGCAAGACGGACACTGACGTCTTCCCCGCTCTCTCCCCACAGGCTCAGAGCTCGAGAACTCAGGATGGGGGAGTAAGTGGTACCCAGTGTGACACCCCCACACACACTGCAGTCCCCTCACCAGGGCTCGGGTCCCATATCCCCCTACCTTCCGTGGCTAACACCTACCCCTTCAACCCCACCTACCCCAAGGTTCCATGGCTACTCCCATGAGCCACAACCTAACTTCTCTTTTCTCTCCCCCTCCCGCCTCCCTCTTTCTCCTGGGACAGTGAGGAGGTGAGTACCATTCAGGCTATAATGGTTCCCTGAGACTAAGTCAGAAGACACACCTGTCAAGGTCCTCAAGTGCCCCGCCCCCTGAGCTACCCCAGAGAGAAAGGAAGTGCCTGCCTGGTGCCCAGTGAGAGGGAAGTGAGACTCAGGCTCAATCACAATGGAATCACTTCTCCTTTCTGATTTCTGTTCACCATTCACCTCCCAGGCCTCCCCTTGCCCACAGCCTCTAAGCTCTGGCCACACCCCTCCCCATTCCCAAACCCCATTACCCCCTTCAAGCTTATGTGCCACCTAAGCGAAGTGTCAGGACCACAGGCATGAGTCCCTGAAGCAGGCTCTGGACTGGGGAAAAATAACAGGGTCCTGGGCAGTGGCCCTGAAGCCTCTTTGGGAGCCCTGTTGTCAGATGGGGCTTCAAGGAGGTCAGTGTTCTAGCCAAGGCCTGACTCTGTCCTCTCTGTCCTGCCCTGTCCTGTTCAGAAACGCAACAGGGCCATCACAGCCCGGAGACAGCACCTGAAGGTAGGGATGGGCTGCTGCAGAGAGCTGGGGGTACAGAGGTGGGGGTGGGAGTCACTGCAGACCCTTACTCTCACCATTCTGCTTCTCAGAGTGTGATGCTCCAGATTGCGGCCACAGAACTGGAAAAAGAGGAAAGCCGCCGTGAATCTGAGAAACAGAACTACCTGTCAGAGCACTGCCCACCTCTGCATATCCCAGGCTCCATGTCTGAAGTGCAGGTAGTCCCTTCTTGCCACATACCGCCCAAGGTCCTGCTACCCCCCTATTCCTCAGCAGGTCAGGCCTGGGTCAGAGCTGGGAGGGGAAAGTGGTCCTCAAGTGTCAGGGTGGCCACCCATCCTCTGCTTGACCACCCAGGAACTCTGCAAGCAACTGCATGCAAAGATTGATGTGGCTGAGGAGGAGAAATATGACATGGAGGTGAAGGTGCAGAAGAGCAGCAAGGAGGTGAGAGGAGGACATGTGGCCTGGGAGTGAGCCAGGGACTTCAGGAGCCATGAGTGGGTGGGGGGGTCAGGCGATACGAAGGTGCAGCCAGGTGACATGGGGTGGAGCCAAATGATATGGGGGTGATATGGCCAGCTAATATGAGATGAAACCAGGTGGTGTGAAAGTAAGACCAACTTTGGGGACATGGGAGCTGCCAGGTCCCTAAACCTCCTGCTCCTTCCTCTCAGCTGGAAGATATGAACCAGAAGCTATTTGATCTGAGGGGCAAGTTCAAGAGGCCCCCACTTCGGAGGGTGCGTATGTCAGCTGATGCCATGCTGAAGGCATTGCTGGGCTCTAAGCACAAGGTGTGCATGGACCTGAGGGCCAACCTGAAGCAGGTCAAGAAGGAGGACACTGAGAAGGTAGGCCGAACCCAGGGGGAGAGCCAAGCGGGAGAGTTCACTCACTGCCCCGTTCATAGAGAGTGCCCAGGGTGCTCTGGGGAAGACTGGAGTGGGTCTGAGGGCTCTCTGGTTCTACCCTCAGGAGCGTGACCTGCGTGACGTGGGTGACTGGAGGAAGAACATTGAGGAGAAGTCTGGCATGGAGGGCCGGAAGAAGATGTTCGAGTCTGAGTCTTAACTGCCCACTGTCACATCCCATCCCACCACTGGGGGAACACCCAACAGCCAGGCTGGGAGTACCTGGCCTCACTCCAATAAAGGACTCACATCCCTACCACTGGTCTGGTCTAGTTCTGTCTGCCCACTCCGGAGCCCACTAGCCATGATCAGCAGTGTGACAGTGTGGAGGTCACACAGCTTGGGTACAGTTCAGGGACACTGAGCTGTACCCTGTAACTGGTGGGTATGGTCTATGTCTGGACTTGTCTAACATGACAGGGCCTGGAGAAACATGACCATGGGACTCCAACAATATCTGAGCAGGAGGTTCTAGGATCAGCTCCTTTGTCCCTTGGTACAGTCATCCACTCAGAAAGGCTTTGGTAGGCACACCCTGGAGCAGGCTCAGTCTCCATTCCTCCAGCTCTGGTCCTTCTCAGGGCTCTGTCTTTGACCAGAAGCCACCCTGAAAGGCTGACCATCTGTGTTCATCCCCAGCCTACATCAATCTTGCCTCCTCCTACACACTCTACCTAGCACCTGCCCCTCTCTGGACACTGAGGGATGAGGGTAAGGCTGAGCCTGCACAATTTGCCTGGATACCTCATTGCCTTGATCCTCTTGGCCTAACAAGGTCAATAATACACTCATTCTGAGGAGCTTGGGGCCTGGGATGGTTCAGCAACTTGACTTCATAGCTGGGCCACAGGCTCCAGGCCTTTCCATGGAGGTGCACGTGGCTATTCTGAGTTAGTAGCTCCCCACTTCCTCCAGAGACTTGTACTGAGCTGGTAAGACATGGGTCCCTTTTCCTGGGTAAAACTGTGACAGACCCAGCATGGCCCTACCTTGGCTGGGGAGGAAACTTGTCTTGTTTTTGTTAAGTCCCAGGCCCTGGCCTAACTAAGATAATATCCCCAACAGGTCTGACAAGAGCCATCTTGGTAAGGCTGTGGCCCCACCCTCTCTTTGTGTGAGATGCTGTCAGGGTCCTAGGTATTCAGTGGGGACTCTAGAAGAGGCTGCCCGCCCCATTCTGGAGTTGTGAGGGTCTCTGGAGGGTGTTCATTGATGCTCAGAAGGCACATCTTTGAGGACTGCTCCCTGGCCTCCCTCCAGCATCAGGAACCACCATGCTCCTTTCACCGGC